GCCATTTCTTTCTGCAGTAGACCAGTTGCCATCCAAGGCTACAGAACCCGGTCTGTCTCAGCTTAGTGTTGTCAGGGTTGAAAGGTGACTCAAAGTGTTTTTAAGACTAGTACATTTCTTCTGAGTTGGTTAATTGTATGATTTTATATAATATATATATATATATATATATATATATATATATTAATCCTTTCACCCCCAAGCAAGGCAATAAAGCTACTAAGATGCAAGGGGTAACTGAGTGTAATCGAATAAGAAAAACAAAGCATTATTAAAGAGGAAGTAGAGTAAAAACAAAGGAATCAAGAAGACAGATAATGATTGTCATTGCATTTAAATTTTTGAAGATCAAAATTGGCTAGAGAGAAAGAGGCTGGAAGAGAATCCCAGAGGTAAGAAGTGCAAGAAAAGAAACTGTTAGCATAGAACTTACGGTTACATCTAGCCAATTCAAATGTAAAAATGATGAGATCTTGCCGCCAATCTAGTACTCAGTTTAAATTCATAAAGTCTAGGTTGCATAGAGCAAAGTTCATTAAAATAATTACCATGAAAGTATTTATAGAAAAGGCTCAAAGAAGCAACATTGTTGTGGTGGGAAAGTGACTGAAGCTGGGATGCCAGGTTAAGACCAATAACATTGCTGATTCTTTGGATTTTATCAAGAATATCCAAATATATAGCAGAAGCACCAAACAATATTTGAAACATGGGTGAATGGTAAACTTATAAATATGTAAGATAGCTTCTGGAGAAAAAAATTGTCTAGCATGGCACAGTGAACCAACTTTCTTAGCAACTGATCAAGCAACTTTTGGTCAGTGGAAAAGGTTTGCCTGAGAAGATACAGTGAGTCACTCTCCTGAAGATTAGATTATTATTTGGTTTTTGACTCATCCCACATTTTTATTGTTTGTTTATTCAGAAATGTGGACAACTTTAGAATCTATACTTTTAAAAAAAGTTTTAAACTTTTTAAATATTGCAGGGTATGTATACACATGTGATACTCAGTGGCTACAAATAGTTTCCATCTGAACATTAAGCTGTAACAATGATACATATTTTGTTACACTTTCAACCACCAATGTATAGCATTTCTATTTATAAAACTAAAATAATGGATCCTAATTTAGGTAAGCATTGTTGCAAGAAGAGAAAGATGGTTCATTGAAAGATTTATCAAATATTTTGAACTAGCAGCCATACCCAACTGGTCGATCAGAAAAAGCATTCAATTAGAATGGAGCAAAAATAGCATCATGTTTAGCGTTTATCTTCTTTAATTATTTTAATGTACTTTCATTAAAAAACATTTCAAATTGTTGAAACTTGGATAAGCATGGAATAATAATAATACAACACAAAATGTACGTTAACAAAATGTATTGAAACAAGGAAAAGGTACACAATATTTACAGTTAGTTTTGGTATATTCTTGGGAAGACTGTTCCTGCATAATGGGTTGACTAAATCGCAGTCGGGCAGAGTCTCTGGATTGGATCTTCTTCTAACTACTGTCTTCCTCCCTGGTCTTCCGGTACCAACCCCTTATTTATATGGTCGGTACTCCACTTATGTAAATTAGGTGTATCGTACACAACACAAATTAATGCAGTTACTGATATAACAGAAGTAGTCTGTATTTATTCAATCGAAGTTAGCTGAGGACATGAGGGGGTAAAATAGGCAACATGAAGACCCACTTCAGACCACAATTATTTTGGAGTTTTTGAAATTCAATTTGTCAGTGTGCTACCAGGGATGTAAAAGAGGATACAGTTATAAAACAATTGTTAAGTTTGATGAAAATTGGTTGAAAGATCAACGAAGAATAAGAAAGAAACCAGTAAAAATCACCATAAGACTGTGGAAATGCATAAACAACATCTGGCCACACACATACACACACACACACACACACACACACATACACACACACACACACACACACACACACATATATACACACACACACACATTTTGGAAATTATAGATATAGATAGAAACAGATGTTTCATTGAAACAGACGTTAAGCCCCACCTCTACCAACAGATTCTTTTTTCTTTCTTTTTTCTCTTTTCCATTCTTTCATTATTTTTCATTTCATCCCAGAAACATCAATTATCTTTTTATGATTATAAGTATAAGTTTCTTTTTTGTTTCCATTTTCCCTAAAACTTTGTTCCATCAATGATATTCTCAGCATCCTTCTGTAGAACCACATTTCTGTTGCCTCAAATCCCTTCTTTACCTGTGAGAAAGTGTCTAGAGGCAACAGAAATGTGCTAGATTTAATAATGGGTAAAACAGATATTTTATTAAATAAAGGAGATAAAAAGTCAGAGGATTTGGCAAAGGACGATGAAGAGATGTTGAAAAGTTCTTGGCCTGACAAAAAAGTTATTCTAAAAAAAATGTTAAATGTTTGATCAGATTTTGTGAACAGAGTTAAGATTTCTGACTATATATCTGAGATGAGGTATTATGATTACTTGTATTATTTACATTATTCAGACTGTTATCCTCATCTTCATTGCCATATTTACAACATTTCAGCCATTGTATGCTCTGGCCTTTTCCAGGTGATTGGAATTTTTAACCGAACAGTTTATTTCGTCTACCGGGGTAGATTGTTCTAGTTCTAGTACTTTCTTTCTTTCTTTCTTTCTTTCTTTCTTTCTTTCTTTCTCAACTTTTACTACTTTCATTCTACCTTTCTCTTTCTAACCTTTTCTCTGCCACTTTCATTTTTTTTCTTTATGTTTTCTATTTCTCAAATTATTCTCTCTCTTTTTCTTTCTTTCCTTCATTCTTTCTTTCATTCTCTTTCTCATCTTTCCTCCCACACTCTCCACAAAAAATTACTTAATCAGAATCAAAATAATTCTTTTAACTTCATTGAAAGTGGAACTAAATTTGATATTATTCCATTGATGATGAGAAATAAACACTGAAATATCAAAAATTCAACTGTGTTTTTTAAACATTAACCCTTTATTAACATTCAGCATGATCTGTTATTAATAGCGCTCAATGTTCAACCTACCTTAACCCGTCCATGTATGCTCTGCCATAACATATTACAACATTATTGCAAATAACACAGGAAGTCATGCAAAAATAGGGAGACTTTGATCTCAAACAGTGGGACTTTGAGAGCCAATATTTATGAGTTTGAGCATGTTGAATGCTAACGGGTTAAATATGGCTGATCTACAAATCCTTTATTGAAAATTTTATCCTCAATGTAAAATCCTGTTTTGTGACATGCACAAAGTTCAACACTACTTTTTGGCTAATCAGAATTTGATGAGAAAAAAACAGAATTTGATATCCTGCACTTAATGAATTGAACCATTTTTATAAACACACACACACACACACACACACAAACAAACAAACAAACACACAGGGCCAGTACATACTACCCCTAAACGCCCTGACTGGGATGGGCTCAGGCCTGATTGGGGAGCCCCGGGCAGTGCTTTGTGACCCTCGCTATCTTATCAGCATTTGCTTTTTTTCTATCTACATTTATAGACAATAAAAATTAAACTAAGCACAACTGACTATTAAAAGATGAATAATTTCTGTGGATTTAAATAACATTCTGGGGGTTTCTTTTTTTCATCCAAATCTGTGAATTTGTTTTGTTCATGTGATTTATTGAAAAAAACACAATATAAAATTCACTATCTTTTATCCATAATTTTGAATGTGCTAAAATTAATTAACTTTTTATCAAGGAAAATCTCAAGTTGATGCTAAAAACTGCCACAAAACATTGTTGATTTATTTAAAATGGAATGATATATAATGACATGTCTCTAAATTGTATTTAGTTACATTGTATTTATTTTCAATTTTTCTAGTTGAATTGTTCGCCTATATTGCATATGATCCATTATTGTATATAATTAGGTTACTATAAAATTTCTATTTTATATGAATACTACATTATTAAAATTGAAATATAGCAGAGTGGAGAACTATGTATCATAGATTCAGGATGGGGTCATGAGACCCTTGTACCGGTCATGCACACACACATACCGAGTGTAACAGCAAAATTGTCCAAATTGTGTTACAGCATAATTCTTCATCCCGAAAATATTTACTATCTAAAAAAAAACACTAAACTGAGTTTCTTTTTTTCAGGTTTTCAGATAAGACATTTAATCATCTTGACTCTATTTTCTGTAAGAATCGCTGAAAAACCCTTTGAGTTATTCATCTAGAAAGAGAACAGGTTAAAATCATTTTGTGTCAGCCCCACTGTCTTCTCAAGTGAGCAATGTTGAGAGGAAAAAGATAATTCAGGTCGGTCGTCAGTAATGGCACCAACATTCATACCCTGGCTTCCATCTTCAAAATCCATTCAAGAACCATCAAGAAGATGGTATATAAGTTTAAAAAAGAGGGAACAGTAAAGGGGAAAACTGGATCAAGAGGTCACAACAAGAAAACGGATCATCATTTCAAAGCTAAAGAGATCAATTATAAAAGATCCAACTCAATCCATAAAACATTTGGCATGTCAGAGAGGAGTTTAGACAGTCCAAAGAGCAGTGAAAAAAGACTTGAAAATGAAATCTTACATGAAACATGTGAAGCAACTTGCTACTCCAGGATAGAAAGTCAGAAGGTTAGAGAGGACAAAGATCACCTTAAATAAGTTGGAGATGATCCTGGAATAATATATATATATTTGAACTTTATTTCAATCCATTATGAGCTTTTGATTCTTAGCTATGATTAATTAATGATAAACGTCATTTTCGTTTATGATCAGTTTCATCAAGGTTCTTCTGTTAAGCTTGGGAAGTAATTATACATTATTATTGCTCAAAGTAGAGTCTAATAGTGTTATCAAAACGTTGAAGAATTCCAGTAAGATATCTTTAATCGTTTCTAAGATACACTGTTTCAGAGCCTAATCTAATAATTAAACAATTTTGCTGTTACATGATTTGGACACCTGGTAGAGGGTTTAGTCAATGCCAACTGACACAGTAAGCATAGCCCAACTATGGTACCTGACTTGGCCCTCCTTTGATAACAAATAAATTTTTTAATCTGGTTATATATTTAAAATATTAAAATATCTACCTTTTTATGATATCAGACCAAAAATAGGGCATTGCTTTTATATCTGGACTAGAGCTGTCTATTCCCCTCCTGCCTGATAGAGCTCAAAAGCATCTATGCGGCCTTGTGGGTGATGAATTATCCCCCACACACACACACTAACAACCCCTTTCTTACAGACAAAATATCACAAACCTCTAATTACTCTATAATTTCCATGATGTGTCCTAAAGAGCTACATTCCATAGTCCCACCAGACCTGACTTTTGCAACTGGGACCTGCAATGCTACATACATAAGGATTTATCATCCTTATTTCCTTCATATTCCATTAATAAGGAAGAAGTTCCATGAGTACAGTCTCTTCCCAAGAACTGATGCTTTGCAGATCAGACTCCCAGCAGGACGTTTTCCCAATCACTATAATCTTGACTTCCTTAAATCTAGGGTTAACCATTATCTTTCCTACATAACGTCATGAACTTCATTTATTGCATTTTCTTATGCTCATACAACACCACACAGTAACCCGCTAGCTTGAGTGGCTCTTGGGCCTTGTATTGGGTGAACAGTAATATAAAAAATAAAAAAAAAAGTGTCAAACACAAGTCTTTGTACAAAGAAGGTGGCACCTTGCATATGGAGGGATTGGAAGTAATTCTTCTACCATTTTTTACTTCCAGAGAATTAAATGATTGCATCATTCATCAGCATCTTTGGCAAGAATGGCAAGCATTCTTATTAAATGTCCCAATGAAGGATTCAAATATTACAAAACTTCTTACTATAGGAATATAAATATGAGTAGATTGGTTTGCCTATCGTCCGGTTCACACTCCTTCCTGGTCTTTTGAACAGTAGTAGAGGTTTATTCTTTCTTTCCTGTTTAGGATTGGGTTTCCAGTTCCTTCTAAAGCCTACTTCTACTCTATCTACTAACTAAACTTTCATTCACAAATTAAATCTTGACATCTTCAAGTCTAGAATTAGCTGTTATATTTCCTGCATAGCCCCAAGAATTTCACTTTCAGTTCAGATCTATCTCAGTCTGTTCATATCTATCTATCTATCTATCTATCTATCTATCTATCTATCTATCTATCTATCTATAGTTTGTTCATGGCTATCACAGTCTATTCATACCTATCTATTTATCTTTCTATCTATAGTCTGTTCATAGCTATCTATCTATCTATAGTTTGTTCATGGCTATCACAGTCTATTCATACCTATCTATTTATCTTTCTATCTATAGTCTGTTCATAGCTATCTATCTATCTATAGTTTGTTCATGGCTATCACAGTCTATTCATACCTATTTATCTTTCTATCTATAGTCTGTTCATAGCTATCACAGTCTATTCATACCTATTTATCTTTCTATCTATAGTCTGTTCATAGCTATCTATCTATAGTTTGTTCATGGCTATCACAGTCGATTCATACCTATCTATTTATCTTTCTATCTATAGTTTGTTCATAGCTCTCTATCTATCTATCTATCTATCTATCTATAGTTTGTACATGGCTATCACAATCTATTCATACCTATCTATTTATCTTTCTATCTATAGTCTGTTTATAGCTATCACAGTATTCATATCTTCAGTCTAATAATATCTATCTCAGTTTATTAGTCTATCTACTGGTGGCAAAATTGTTCATTTGTGAAAAACATATATGTTTGTTATAAACTGGTAATGTTTTCCCAACATTGTTCTCTCTAAAAGTAAAACTATATATACATCAATCAATAATCAACAAAAATCCATTGACCATTCCTTAAAGTAGTTATTTGTAAATATAAATAAAAAAAGTAAAACAAAGGTGTAATTTCCTGTACTGGTCAAGTAAGTGTGTGGGATATTTATCTTTAAGTTTTTCTCGTTTAAATAAATTACATTTTCAGCTGGATGTCATCGTAAAAATTCTCAATATGGGTCAAGGACACACAAGTCGTGTATCCACTATTTAAAGATGAAGATTGAAGACTGTTTTTACTCAACTACTAAAACGCCTTTTTAAACAAATAGGAAAGAATTTACAGCATTAAAAGATTATGTTCATCATCACAGATATCGCTTTAATGGAAAATTTCGACAAAAATATTATGGGTCAAACTTTTACATATTTTTTTTTTAATTTCTTTATCGCGATGTCTGGATAAGATGGTTAACGCAACGCATGATTAGAAAAAGAGAAAGAAAGAGTATATGTGGACACCACTACTACTGCTAATGCATGTACAAAGTCACGCAAAACTAGTAAAGTATTGTTGATTTTAACTATTTAACAGTAAAAATGATTGTGTGACTTTGTATCAGATATAACACACGAAAGATTAACCCCAGGTTCCAATCTGAAAGAAAGCCCAGTCGTTTATATCAAATAATCCACAGTAAGTAAAAAGAAAGAACGAGATAACCTGTCCTTGCCTGAACACAATGCATAAAATTGGGAAATTGTCGCTAAGTTGCTCCATTGTTAGAATTCATTGTTTTTTTGTTTTTATACACATATATAGGCTCGAACTAAGGAACAAGCACTTTTTATTTTAAAACCCGTTTTTTATTTTATTTTATTTTACATGGCATAAACCAGTAAACATCGATACGAAAAATCTCAGGCGCCGGGTTCTACTTGTGACCTTTAAACTTATAAGGAGGGGCGGTTTGACCCGTGACTGACGCCTATGATTGGTTGTTTCTGGTTACGTCATCGACACGTCACAGTGTGGCGCTGTGACTTTCTCCTGATCACGCACTTCATTACTGTCCAACAAGCCGCGCTGCGACTAACTTAAAACTTACTCTTGTCTCTTTCACTCTCAAAAATATAATACAACATCAATAGTAAAAATGAAGCTGGTTTTTGTCCTCGGTACCCTTTTTCTGATTGCTGTCATCTGTATAGAATCCGGTAAGTTAACTTAAGTCTTGATTTAGTTCTTACCAGCTGCTTTCTCAACCAGGTGTCAAGAAAAAAACTTAACTTACCTGTTCACTTTTTATCCGACCTATATTATTTTTATTATTGTTAATGAAGCAGCCATGTTCGGCAGGTGGCAGTTTACTTTTTCTAAAGGTCGCTCTTGATGTTCCAGATTCAAAATTAGAAAATATTGCTTTCCTTACCTCCTTACTTTATGAAACTCATATCAGTCATGTTTGTTTTGAGCTCATTGATTTTAAAATAAAATAAATACTGAGCTTTTCAAGCGATTTCTATGACTTTTTCTAAGTTTATTTTGTTAAAGTTACATTTTTTAAAAAAATGAATCTCTCGATCTATTTCATGAACTAGAAACGACATATTTAACTCTTGTTCTGTGTTTAAATATAAAATGTTATGTTAATTAATTCTATTGACATTGGGATGAGAAAAAAAAAGACTTTGTCGCTCCAAATTAGTTTAAATGAGGGAATCGATCAAGTCAAGAGCGATACGAATAACTTTTTAATTAATTTCTGTAATCAGTTTTGCTATCCTTACACTACAGCTGAGTTCAAAACCTTTTACACGGCGATTTTTTTTTTTGAAACCTCACTAGATTTTCGTTAAAAATAACTCGAAATATTTTGTTTAATTCTCACTATTTTCCTCCCTAAATAAATATGAATATTTAAAAATAAATCAAACTTCTGTTCTAGCTTATTTTCTATTTATTTTTTGACACTTCTAATGATTTATTTTCTTTAAAATTGAAATTCTACGAATTGTCCTAAAATTAATAAACTCTTCTCCTCTTTAGTTTTAAAATAGTTTGTATTTTCTCAAAAATATAAAAAATATTTTTTTTTTTTTCTTAAGAATTCCTGTCATTTTTATTTCTTTCTTTTTCTTTGAAAAAATTTAAATCACTTTTTTTGGTTCGCCGAAAAGTTTAATTCTTATTGAAGTTTGTTTTTATACGGTTAAAAAAAAATATAAAAATACTATTTTTTTTTTTTTTTTTTTTTTAACTTATATTCGTAGAACCAAGATCTTCATAAGAGAACTGAAAAATATGATTATCATATTTTTCAGTTCTCTTATGAAGATCTTGAAAGAATAATCGTCTTGGTCATCAAAGCAGTCTCCTCTTCATGCAACTGACCAAAATTCGGTCGTTGAAAAATAAATGATGCGTGGGTTTATTGTCATCAAATGATCAATCAAGGTGTGCCGTTTGAAAACGTTAGAAATAATGTCTTTATTTCTTTTTTCAAAATGTAATCAGATCAGCGAAGACCATTAACTTCAACTTAGTTCTTAAGGCAAGAAGAAAAGTAACATGAACTATAAGTCGAGGTCTTTTTAACTTTTGAAACAGTCAGGCAAATCCAGTAATCAATGAATAGTACTACTACTACTGATTTTTTTCTTCTCTCAAATGTCCTGTTATCATTCTTTGTAATCGTTCGTGTGATTAACGATAGAATAATTATGCATTGTTTTTACATAATTTTAGATCTATATTAATAACAAAAAAGGTAGATTGATTTTCTTTTTCAAGACGCTTGTTTTGTTATTTTTATTTTTTTTATTTAAAGCACTTGCTCTTTTTGGAATATTTGACTTCTTCAAGGTGATCCATTCTTAACCAAAAAAGCTGAAACAGATCTTTGGTGTTTTTAAATAACTCTCATAATTTAACAAATTCTAAATTTAAGTCTGTTATTAATTAATAATAAGTATGACCAATCAATGTTCATTCTCAGTTAAGTTGAAATCGTAGAAGTTTAAAACACTAAACAACTTTGTTGAATTTGAAAAGTTGTTTATAATATTTTTTCACCTTATAACTTTGAAAATAAATTAAACTTCAACGAAAATTATTTTTTTTAGTGTTGAGGTAGAAAGAAAACGTCAAAATAAAAAGTAAATCTTATTTGACCTTGCATTTTTTTTTTTTTTTTTTTGCTTTGTATGGTCAGGGTTTGTATTTTGTTTTTGTTTTTTAAATTCAAAGGACATTCGTAATATAAGCATTGAATACATTTCTCATGAGAGCCCTTTTTTCCCCGGAACTTGTCCAGTGTAAATGACCTTGAGACTTTTTTTTCACCTTGTCGACGATCACTTCTTCCTCATAATACCTCTTCTACTTTCTGGATCAGATTTTTTTTTCTTCTTTCATAATGAGCTTTTACCAATAATCTACCGGTCCTAAAAAAAAGAAAAAAAAAAGAATGTTTTATTAGAAGTCAGAAAAATTGACACCTGACATTTTCTAAGGCTCTAGTTAAGTGTTGTTTAGTGTTCTTCCTTGAGTTATATAATTCATTAATATCGGATATTGTTCTTCCTATTGTGGAAGTGTGGGAGAAGAGACTCTGTAGCTCAATAAAAATAGAAAACCTTTTTAAACAGAAAACATACCAACAACCGTTGTTAACCCATTTTTAAGTGGATGAATTATGATAACTTTTCGTTTTAGTTTATTAATTAGAATTATTACAAATTTAAATTCTGCCCGATAGATGTGAATCGTTGTTATTTGAGAGTGTAACTCCGATTTTTTTGATTTTTTTTTTTTAATTTAAGTCATACTCTCAAAATAACGATTCACATCATATCTATTGTGCAGAGTTTAAAAATATGTAAATTAATAAAAAAAAGTCACACAAAGCATCAACAGCGAGAACATCTCAAGTAGTAACACCAACGGTTTTGTTTTAACTTTTAGCATTTTTCTTCTTTCTTTAATGATTTGTTTTTAACGGCTTATCAACCTTTTTTGACGGTTATTTAAAGACAGGAAATATTTTTAGATTGTAAGAATTTTGTGGGAGATAATGATTTACTGATACAAATCTTAATCTAAGTTAACTGTTAGTGTTAACCCATAGCTGGAGGGTGAAGAGGTTGATTCATACTTTTCTCAAGGGCATTTGCACGTAATGAACCCAACTGGAATTGGAACAATGCTCTCCGTTTTCCAATTCTGAGCCGTTATTCGTTACACCCCCGCACATCCAAGCTTATATAGCACCTGATATTCTTTTTTTTTTTTTTTCCTTTTTTAAGTAATTACTGAACAGTGATCAGGGTGCTCCTGTTTGTGGACATGTGCCCAAACTAAACTAATTTTAGTTCACAACAGCGTGTTTTAATGGTTAACGAGCTACTCTAGCCTCATTGACTAGTAAATATACTGGGTATTGAGTTCGAATCGCACTGGATGCTCCATACTTTGTGACCTTGCGCCTAAGCTTTGTAATGACAATAAAATTAGTTCGGACTGTAACTAGAGATTTTTTTTTTTTTTAACAAAACTATTTTTTATCTTTTTTAGTATTCAAACTTTTAAGCTTTAATTTAAAATGAAGTTATTGTTTTTTTTATTAATAAATTAATTTTTTTTTTTTTCGACTTGGTAACCACTTTGCTTGTGTCAGACATTTTTTTTTTCTTTTCTTAAAAAGATAGAAACTGGGTTTTTTAGGTTATATAAATCATAATAAAGATAGTTTATCTATCAAAAATGTCAAAACTGGCTTTGTTGAACATTAGAAAGCGACTACACTCCTTTGCAAAAGGTCACCTTTATGTCACTATGGAAATTTAGTAAATAACAAAGACTTGCTTTAAACACGAAAACGATGTCTTTTTTTTTTAATTTCCATGTGCCAAACTGAATTAAAAAAAGGGGGAACAACTTATCCCCCCAAAAAAGGGATTTTTATTTTTGCATGCATTATGTAATTACAAGTTCATATTATTGTTGATGGGAAATAAATCTTATTCTTAAGTGTCGAATTTCACTCCATTATGTAATTGATAAACTCAGTTGTTTCTCCATCTATCTTCTTCTTCTCTCTCTATCTTTCTCTCTTTTTATTTTTGTGGATCTTTCTCTTCTCTCTCTCTCAATCTGTATGCCCTCTGTGTAATCATCTCTCTATGCCTGTCTACATATCACCTTTTTCGTCTGCTGCTTCTTCTCTCTATGTGTACGTAATTGTCTGCTTCTCTTCTCATTTTTTATCTATGCGTGCTCTTCTCTCTCTCTCTCTCTCTCTCTCTCTCTCTCTCTCTCTCTAGTTATGTGTACTAGTACTCATCAACCTACCGTCTTTTTCTCTCTGAATCTATGTAAACTTTTCTATATTTCTATTTCTATCTCTCCATCTATGTGCCTTCGTCTTTTCTTTCTTCATGTATGTATTGCCGTCAGCCTATCATTATCTTTTTCTTTGGTTGCTTCTTTCTTTCTATCTCTCTCTGTTTCTCCATCTCTTTGTGATTGTAGTCGCTCATAATTTTATTTTTAACCAATTGAATAAAATATTTATGAAACAATAGCTCGCGTGTTCTAAGGAGTTTATTTCATTGCTATATTATTACCTGGTTGTTTAAAAATCGTAATAATTTTACTAGCTACTAGCAGATTACCTATCAAGAATGACTTAGTATTCGTGCAGATTGGCACTTTAGCTGAGGATAAGAGTATCTGTACTCTGAAAAGTGTTACTTGTAAATGGACACACATTTTTATGTAATCATAATTTACATACATATAAAAATGGCTTGGTCACATTTTCTATATAACACATTTTGGGTGATGAATTATTGATATCTAAAATAAAAGGCCACAATTTCAGGGTGCATACATTCTTTTTTGAGAAAATTCTAATATGTAGAGAAAAGCAGAAAAAACCAAGTAATGCCTGTCCTAATTTAATTTTAAAGCTACTACTACTACCTTTTCTTTTTACTAATGTTCGTTCACCTAATACAAGGCCCAAGAGCCACTTAAGGTAGAGGGTTATGGTGTAGTGTCGTATTAGCATAAGAAAAGAAGTTAAGTTCTTGGGGCTCTGCAGGAAAGATAACAGCTAACTCAAGACTTGTAGAGTTCAAGATTTAATTAGTTTGGCTGCAGACATTAGGAGTGTACAGTTGAAATAGACTTTAAAAAGGGAACAGAAACTCCATCCAAAACTGAAAACAATGTTTAAACCTCTACTTCTGTTCAAAAAATTATGGTTTTCTCCTAAGAACTCATGACAATTAATCTATAATAATGAAAAAGAACCTGTAGGGATCCATGATTGCTTCCATCTTGAAGAGACATGACATTTAAAAAAAAAAAAAAATTCTCTTTTAAAATGGCTTCCTTTCTGGACACATTCAGAATACAAAGTGTTGTCATAGAATTTCTATTTTTAAAAAGAGAAACTACTGCAAATATTCACAGGAGGTTAGTGAATGTTTATGGAAAAGCTGCAATTAATCTAAATATAGTCAGTATTTAATAGCAATCTTGAGAGGAAGGAAAAACTGACCTGACTGATATGTCCTGCTGTGGCAGGCCTGTTGCTGTTGACGTGAACAAGGATAACACCAAACAGATTGATGTTCTCACTAGCTGACAGGAAGATCACTATTGCAAAACTCTGAAAGCATTCAGGTGAATCATGGTAGTGTTTGCAATTTACTGCAATCTCTTGGCTGCTCAAAGTGGTTTCCCAGAATCTTGACAGACTCCATGAAGAAGAAGCCCAAGTGTTTCAAAAAAGTTCACAGCACAGATACCAGCTTCCTAAGTAGGATAATCACAAGAAATAAAATCTAGGTTTATTATTATGGCAGAAGCTTATGGTTGCATACTCTGTAATAATCACTGTGTTTTGAGAGTAGAATGGTCATACCATTAGAATTTATACCCAGTGGCACTACCATTAATTCTAATGCTTATGTGACCCCCATTGTCAAACTCGAAACAACAATCTTTCCAGCTATGCCCCATTAGATGAGTAATAGACTTCTGTAACATGACAATGCAAAGCCTTACAACAGCTTAAAGACCAGGCAAATAGTTGCAGCATGTACTTGGACAACATTTTCTCTGGCACCCTTAGACTCATCCATTTGCACTTATGTAGAAGGCACTCAGAAAACAATAGTTCCCCAATGATGAGATGAGACAACTTTAAGGCAGCTATAAATGCCTTTATACAAATGTAG